GTAACTTTCATAAACTCGTAGCAATAATCTATACGGAGAGAATGTATGTGAAAATTAATTTGTAATATGCGCAGTTGCCGAGAAATGGGCAATTTTGCATGAGTCACTTTTTACGCTAGTTTGCCTGTAAAAGAGTCAATTATTATTCGATTTTCATAAAAGTGACACCATTTGATGTGTAATGTCAATTTTAACTAGGTCAAACCAATTTAACATTTTCAATATCACCGGAAATGACGTAATTTGGGCAAAAATTGTATTTATAGCCTTCGAAACCAGTAATTTATTCAAATGAGTCATATTTGTTATTTGTTTAAAATTTTGATATTTGATTCAAATCAACTAATACAATGAACCCTTACGATCATATAGATATCACAAAATGGTTTCTAACTTGTTCAGTTGCGGAGAAATAGGCAATTTTCAACAGGTCACTTTTTAAGGTTTTTTTGTCAATAAAAGTGTCAATTATTATTCGATTTTCATGAAATTTTCACTGTGTGATACATAATGCCATTTACGATATCATACAAGTAATTTAAGATTTTCATTATCACCGGAAGTAACGTCATTTTGGCAAAAACTGTATTTTTAGCCTTCAAAACAGATATTTTATTCAAATGAATCAGATTTGTAATGTTTTTAGAATTATGATATTTGATTCCAATCAACAAATAGAATGAACTCATTCGATCATACAGATACCTCAAAATGGTTTCTAACTTGTACGGTTGCAGAGAAATAGGCGATTTTCTACAAGTCATTTTTCAAGGTTTTTGGTCTATAAAGGTGGCAATTATTATAGGATTTACATAAAATTTTCAACATGTGATGATGCTATTTCTGATTTCATAAACCAATTTAACATTTTCATTATCACCGGAAGTAATGTAATTTTGACAGGATCACTGACATGTAGCAAATGAATTGATTGCTGGATTTGGTTGTTTCTGCGTCCATTTTATTTCATGTGTGCAATGCTTATGTGGAAACCTGTTTAACGGTTTCATTGGTACCGGAAGTGACATAAGTTCAAGGGTAACGTGGCACCGGTGAAACCCGTCATTACTGCTTCGCAGTTCTAGTTCTTATTATTATTATTCTTCTTTTGTTTTGAGTAGATCTCAGCAACTGATTGTCGGATCGTTACGATTTCTTCGGTTTTATCGGAAAAGTGGGTGTGACTTAGAGGATAAAGCTATTTTGAACGTTCTGCGACAATGCGAAATGTCCGAAATCACCGAAGCTATCGTTTTTAGAAATATTGCAGTAATTTTAACAATAATCATTGGATTTTAACTTTCGATGCATTTTGGCATAGCCGGAGACGGGGCACATAGCTACGCTACTTTTGATTTTTGATTTTCGGCAAATCTTCGCAGATATTAGGCGCTAAATTTAGAAAATTTAAATTTTTACAAAAAACTTTTTTATTTATGAATATTTTTTAATCGTGTTTTACACAAATATAACGAGTCCTCTGACTTGGGCAAAAATGTGAAAATTTTTTGTCTCGGTAATTTTCCTTGGCCCCCATTGGCTAATTCAGTTTTTCAGTCCTAGATTAATTATTTATTGTTCGATTTGTATAAAACAAAGTTCATATGCCCCGTTGTCTCAATTGTCATTTTTTTTGTTACCAATAGTGTTATCTGTCGGCACCGGAAGTGGCGTAAATTGACAAAAAACTACAATTTTGACAGTTAGGTACCATTTTTCGAAAGCAAATATTATTTTTTTCAAATCTGGTATAACTGAAATTGTGCGCCCTTTAAAGGCGCACAAAATGTTGGGACCATTTTTTTTAATTTCGATTCCGTTTTCGGGCTATTTCGATTAAAAGGTGAAAAAAGGTGTAAAATTAAGCTATTTACAACCCATTCAGCGTTTTCATATTTTAAAATATTACTTCGTAACTTTCATAAACTCGTAGCAATAATCTATGCGGAGAGAATGTATGTGAAAATTAATTTGTAATATGCGCAGTTGCCGAGAAATGGGCAATTTTGCATGAGTCACTTTTTACGCTAGTTTGCCTGTAAAAGAGTCAATTATTATTCGATTTTCATAAAAGTGACACCATTTGATGTGTAATGTCAATTTTAACTAGGTCAAACCAATTTAACATTTTCAATATCACCGGAAATGACGTAATTTGGGCAAAAATTGTATTTATAGCCTTCGAAACCAGTAATTTATTCAAATGAGTCATATTTGTTATTTGTTTAAAATTTTGATATTTGATTCAAATCAACTAATACAATGAACCCTTACGATCATATAGATATCACAAAATGGTTTCTAACTTGTTCAGTTGCGGAGAAATAGGCAATTTTCAACAGGTCACTTTTTAAGGTTTTTTTGTCAAAAAAAGTGTCAATTATTATTCGATTTTCATGAAATTTTCACTGTGTGATACATAATGCCATTTACGATATCATACAAGTAATTTAAGATTTTCATTATCACCGGAAGTAACGTCATTTTGGCAAAAACTGTATTTTTAGCCTTCAAAACAGATATTTTATTCAAATGAATCAGATTTGTAATGTTTTTAAAATTATGATATTTGATTCCAATCAACAAATAGAATGAACTCATTCGATCATACAGATACCTCAAAATGGTTTCTAACTTGTACGGTTGCAGAGAAATAGGCGATTTTCTACAAGTCATTTTTCAAGGTTTTTGGTCTATAAAGGTGGCAATTATTATAGGATTTACATAAAATTTTCAACATGTGATGATGCTATTTCTGATTTCATAAACCAATTTAACATTTTCATTATCACCGGAAGTAATGTAATTTTGACAGGATCACTGACATGTAGCAAATGAATTGATTGCTGGATTTGGTTGTTTCTGCGTCCATTTTATTTCATGTGTGCAATGCTTATGTGGAAACCTGTTTAACGGTTTCATTGGTACCGGAAGTGACATAAGTTCAAGGGTAACGTGGCACCGGTGAAACCCGTCATTACTGCTTCGCAGTTCTAGTTTCATGTTATAATTATTAATCAAAAAAAATTTGGGGGGTATATTTCACGAAATGTGAAAAAAGAAACCAATTTATATTTATATATATACATATCATTCAATATAATAATCATATTCAGAACTTCTATTTCCTATTAGAAGAAAAACATAATAGTTTTGCTATTATCTTATGTTTGCCATTTAATTACGTAAAAGAACTAGGTCTATGTGGTCTAATCAAACTTTCTTAAAGTTTGAAAAATGCTTTGCATACTGATCATCACCAATATGGCACAGCGTTGGAATGTCAGTCAAAAATGGATGGCCAGTCCACCTTGCCTAACAAACCTGATTATAGCAATTAACAATAATTTTAAAAATAATTTAGACACACAGACCTTTTTCTTTCTTTTTTTTAAATGTGAAAGGTACTTTAATGTAATTATTTTAATGTGGAAATTATAAGAGTTGTCAAATTTTAGTCGCTTTTTACGACACACAATTCAACTAAGGTTGAGCCTACTCTTGTCCCCGGTCCCACAGGGGAACGTATTCACTATATCTATCTGTCATAATTACATGAGTTTTCTGTATATATGGTAACATTTACATCCTTTTTTTCCTCTTTTTAGAATTTCTGCCCATGAACCTATATACAACTGTCTTGTTTTTGATAAACGTAAAATATATCGCAAAGAATATCACTTTGAATTTCCTAATTTGAAACATGGAAGAAAATAGCAGTGTTGAAATATTTACATATTTTTGAACAGTGCTTAAGAATAGACTTACCGAAGCCTTTAAATTATTATTTATATACATATTATTATTAGTTATAACATTAAAATAAATTGGCATACAAAATGAGTTTAAGAACTCCCTATACCTTACATCATTAATTATTAAGTTTTTATTTACAATGGGTTTTTTAGGATTTCTGACTTTAGGTACAGCCAAGGCTAGATATATAGGGTACCAGAGTTTGCCAAGGTTTGCCGAGTGGTACTACTAGTGAACTCATTATACATTAATTATTTGAAGATATTGACTGGTAAAGCAGGGTATGAAATAAGCCTCTTGTATGGTAACCTCAAAATAGGTTATGCTAATCTGCCTGAAATTTGGTTACGATGCATCAATTTTCTGCCATATTTGTTTAGAGCTGCCCCCTATTGACATGCAATATAGTACAATTTGGATGATTTTACACCACTATAGATAGGTAGTCTACACTTTAACCCTAGAGTCAATTAAAAGATTAGCCAGGTACCCCTAAGCTCATTAAATCAGCAGGGCCCATCTCCCTAAGCCAATTAGTGGATTATTGTTAATTCTAATACCCACTATAAAATTGCAAATAACTAAAAAAAAGAACATATATTTTCTATACATAGAAAAACTTTTACAAAAATGTACAGAATGTCGGGTTCTTTCCAATGATATAAAATTCAATTGTACAAAGTAGCAATTATATTACTATCAATAATATTGAAAAGTCAGTTCCATTAAAATTATGACTTTTTTGTCATCATGAACAAGCATCTCCTAAGATTTTTTTTTTTTTTTTTAAATAGAACAGAGTTCAAAGTAAATACAAATATTACTTCATCACTGTCGGCATTTGGATATATGGCGGGAATTGTCGTCTTCTTTGTTCATTGCGTCGAAAAAAAAAAATATTTAGTTGAAATCTTCGACAATGCAATATTTCTCTATATTGCTTGTATTAAATCCTAATAAATTATTACTCAATCACCATTAATTTAAGAAATAAAAACAATAGAAATCTGTTGAGTGGTCTGGCACTTTTGTTTGCTAATGCCGTTGCAAAGCATGATGGGTCCGCGAGTTGATTCGCTACCGCCAAATGACAGGTGCGAACTTAAGGATCTTTCAGGTATTTATTTATAATTGTAATATGTTTTTAACGTAGGAGTGGGGGAATAGTTTAACCATGGACCTTATAATACAGTATATATCCATGGTTTAACTGAAACCTTCAGTTTATAAATTTAAAATTATAGCTTGGTGGTCGAGAACGGAAGAACAAAAGAATGAGGAGAAAGAACGCACTCGATCCATCAGAAGATCCAAGAGTAAGAGTCCTGTTATAGATTCTCAGGTAAACAAAGATACTGAAAATTTCAACAATAAAGGCAACCCATCCCTGTTGACTATGTGGTCTGCTAGTTGTGAGTGAGAGAATAACAGTCAGAGTGCATGTTAGTTCAGGTGTGTGCTGTGAATACACAGGTCATGTGATTAGAGAAGCATGATAACTAGTGAGTGCATTTGAGAGAGAGTTTTATTGAAATAAAATTGAACCATATGTTAGGCCCGAAATGACCTAGTTTGTGTTGAGTGGAGGTTAAACCCCATTTCTTCTCTCTCTCATTTCTCACCTCCTGTAACGGGTACATGTCATACTCATGAGTCATATTTCTGTATGAGATCCTCGAGATCACATGATCTGTAAGCTAGCAGACAACATAAGTTATATCTAACAAATAATGTATACACAGTCTTAAAGTCAAAATTCTCAATGATTAAAATGCATATTTTTATACGTTTGTAGTCCATATGTGTGTCCGTCCGTCGATCCACAATTTGTTTGTGGACTCTCTACAGGTCACAATTCTTATCCGATTTTATTGAAACTTGAAATGTAAATTTATAACCCGAAGATCTCGGTTCCTTTTGATATTCGTGCATATCGGACCGTAATGTCCTGAATAATGGCCCCTGATTGTACGAAAAATCGTGTTTTTAGCTTGTGGACCCTATAGAGGTCATAATTTTTATCCGATTTCAAAAAAATGTTTTAGTACATCACTGTTACACCCTAAGGGCAGCTGAGTTCGAATTTCGTGAAAATCGGCCCAAAATTGACAGACAAAATGGCCGCCATTCGTTCTCAAATAGCGTAAAAAATATGGTATAGCAAGGTTGTGGACCCTATTGAGGTCACAATTTTTATCCGATTTTGTTGAAACTTGAAATGTAAGTTTATAACCCTAAGATCTCGGTTCCTTTCGATATTCACGCATTTCGCACCGTAACTTCCTGAATAATGGCCCCTGATTGTACGAAAAATCGCGTTTTTAACTTGTGGACCCTATAGAGGTCATAATTTTTATCCGATTTAAAAAAACGTATTATTATATCACCGTTACACCCTAAGGACGGCTGAGTTCGATTTCCATGAAAATCGGCCCAAAACTGACAGACAAAATGGCCGCCATTCGTTCTCAAATAGCCTAAAAACATGGTATATCAAGGTTGTGGACCCTATTTTGATGGAACTTGAAATGTAAGTTTATAACCCAAAGATCTCAGTACCTGTCGATATTCGTGCATATCGAATCGTAACTTCCTGAATTATGGCCCCTGATTGTACGAAAAATGTTGTGGACCCTGTAGGGGTCACAATTTTAATTCGATTTTGATGAAAGTGAAATGCATGTTTATAACCCAAAGATCTTGGTTCATTTCGTACATCTTGGTTCATGTGGACGTATATTCTTGTCGCCCCTGTCCGTCCGTCCACAATTTGTTTGTGGACACTCTACAGGTCACAATTCTTATCCATTTTAACGAAACTTGAAATATAGGTTTATCTCCAAAAGATCTCGGCTGCTTTCGATATTGGCATGTATCGGATCGAAACTTCATGGATTATGGCCCCAGTTTGTACGAAAAATCACGTTTTTAGCTTGTGGACCCTATAGAGGTCACAATTTTTATCCGATTTTGTTGAAACTTGAAATGTAAGTTTATAACCCAAAGATCTCGGTTCCTTTTGATATTCGCGCATATCGGACCGTAATTTCCTGAATTATGGCCCCTGATTGTACGAAAAATCACGTTTTTAGCTTGTGGACCCTAAAGAGGTCATAATTTTTATCCGATTTAAAAAAACGTATTATTATATCACTGTTACACCCTAAGGACGACTGAGTTTGAATTTCGTGAAAATCGGCCCAAAATTGACAGACAAAATGGCCGCCATTCGTTCTGGAATAGCATAAGAATATGTTATAGAGGTCACAATTTTTATCCGATTTTGTTGAAACTTGAAATATAAGTTTATAACCCAAAGATCTTGGTTCCTTTCGATATTCGCACATATCGGACCGTAACTTCCTGAATTATGGCCCTTTATTGTACGAAAAATTGCGTTTTTAGCTTGTGGATCCTATAGAGGTCATAATTTTTATCCGATTTAAAAAAACGTATTATTATATCACCGTTACACACTGAGGACGACTGAGTTCAAATTTCGTGGAAATTGGCCCAAAATTGACAGACAAATTGGCTGCCGTTCATTCAGTTCCTTTCGATATTTGCGCATATCGAATTGTAATTTCCTGAATTATGGCCCTTGATTGTAGGAAAAATCACTTTCTTGTTAGCTTGTTCTCTATCCATCTCTCGAAAATGTGGGCGTATCCTGCCTGGCAGCCGCTGGTTGAATTAAATCATGAAATAGCCAAATTGTTCTAATCTAGTTAAAATCTGGAGTATCTGATGGCATCGAGAGTTGATTATTGTCTTGTCATGTTAATAAATATCTAATTAATGATTTATATAACATTTCATGCCTAAAGAAAGACGTGCAATAGGCAGATTTAGCTCTTATATAATGCCTGTTTAAACACTGCATACCGTATACACACATGCACAATAAATTAAAACTATTTGTATACACAGCAACTGAAGACATATAGAAGACATGGTATTTTAACTCACTCCGTGTCCTTGGGTCTTTTGTTCCTATCAAAATGAAAATTGTAATCATTATTTTTATACACTGGATTTTTATGTAGACTTACTATGCATTTCACAATAATAAAATATATATGTGTACACAGCAAGTGGACACATATTGAATTGTTATTTTAAACTAATGGGAAATCAGTGTTCTTAGGTTTCATGTTCACCTCCAATTGAAATCATTATTTTTACACCTTTTTCAAATATTTTCAGCCATAAAGCTATATCAGTTGTAAAAATTCTTCGTGTGTTGAGAGTTCTACGTCCTTTACGTGCCGTAAACAGAGCTAAAGGTAGGATTTTTTTTTTTAATACTGTTTTGAAGGAGCTAAACCTCCTTACTTTATGTAGAAAATAGTGTGACACTACGGTGTTGTTACGCCAAGACTATCCTTCGTCACGGCACTAAAAAAAAGTGATATGCCACGGCCCGTGACACTAGGATGACACTAGGATGACACTTAAATAGTCAGGACTTTCACGCTGTATATAAAACTCCAAGGATCAATTGACACTGGCGATCAAAGAAGAATCACGGTGAAAAATAGACGGTAAGGATTCCGAAATAGCCTTAGAACCAAGGTGGGGGAAAAGCCTTATTTTCATATTAGTTATCTTTAGGATCAGCCAGTAACGATGAAAGCTAGCCTCTATCAGACATCATTACTAAAATAACTAATATAAGGATTACTTGTGTTTTCCATTTTTTGTGTCACTTCCTGTTTCTTCAAATCTTCGTTACGCATCTACTGTAGCAATGATCTCTGTATTAAAATTATATTTGGTATGTCCTTTAATGTCCTATTGTTCTGCATCAAGAAAGACAAGCATGTTCCATGCAGTATGATACGAGAGGAATTTTAAGGCGAGTGTTTATAATTTGTTTATATGTTTTAATCTGGTATATAATGGAGTGTTTATAATATGTTTACATATTTTTGTCTTTCAAAGAAAGCAGGGGACTATTAAAATGAGTTCGTCCGTCTGTCGGTCTGTCCGTCACACTTTTTGGGACACAATAACTCTCTTTCTAATTAAGCTAGAATGTTCAAACTTGGTGTAGGTGTTTATTAGGTCAATACCTTGATGGAGTTCGAAGATGAGCATTTTCTGCTTAGGGTAAGCAGAGATAAGCAATTTGATTGGTTGATGCTTTGGGACACAATAACTTTAGTTCTAATTAAGTGAGAGTGATGAAACACCGAATATAGATTCATTACATCATTACCTTGATTAAGTTTGATAATGAGAATTTTCTGCTTAGGCTAATGAGCGATAAGCAATTTGATTGGTCAAGACTTCGGAACATTACAACTCTGCTTTTTATTGAGGTAGAATGTTTAAACTTGATGTTCATTAGGGGAATGTCTTGACTGAGTTCAATGATTAATATCTCGAGCTAAAGCTAAGCTTGCGCGTAGGGGTCTTTAGCAGTGGGAGGAAAGATTTTCCTTTAGGGCTAATCCATTTAAAAATATCTGGAGGGTACCACACATTTTTTAAAAAAATAATCTTTTACTGAACGTGTGGAAAAATTGGGTTTTGTGGGTAATGTAATGGGGCGTGGGGGGAGGGTCTGTTTGAAAAAAGCTCAGTATATTATGGTATCTGCCCCCCCCCCCCCTGTAATTTTAAATGGAATATTCCTAAGGTGGTTTACATTTTATGAGAATTTAGATCCTACATGTATATTCATTATGGTTCTCGTTTCCCCGGTACTGTATTCCAGTAAAAGATCGACTGAAGAATTCACCTGGGACTGGCAGTTGATTTATATACAAGTTGTAAAATAGGGCATTTCAATGATTTTAACCTTAAAAGACTATAAATACAGTTAAATTTAAAACACTTAAATATATATTTATGAATGAAATAATATTCAAAATTTGTCCTACTCTTTGAAAAACTTGTCATGCCAGTCTGAGATATGTGAAAATGTTGGCTGATATATGTGAAGGTGGTCTCAATAGTGATATTTAATTATCAAAAACTGTATTTACTTCAACTCGTAACAAAAATTTAATCTGATCAGATTTTAATAAACAAAGGTCGACGACTCCCCACTGGAATATCTCGGGTTTAGGCCTACAAATAAAACCATTATTTCCCAGCCTAGTGAAATATTAAGGACCAGTTGATTAGCACCTTGATATTTTACAAGGTAGATCTAGTTATTAGCCGTCTGTCTCAACATTTTGTCAGGTAGGCCTAGGGAAACATAAGGTACTAGTTGATTAGTACCTTGACATTTCACCAGGTAGGCCTAGAGAAACATTAGGTACTAGTTGATCAATGTCTTGACATTTCACCAGGTAGGCCTAGAGAAACATTAGGTACTAGTTGATTAGTTTAATTGTTATATATAACCACTATAAAGAACTAATACTTTTTTTAAAAAAAGACACCAACAGATCTAACATCCAAAACGTCCCCAGTCGATCAACATGTCCGCTAATGGGGATAAAATATGATTAGGGAGGGAACTCGTTTTCAAACTAATGGCAATGACACTAGAACTAAATAAACTCTATTGTATATAGGCCCGGTATAGTATTATAACATTTTCAAATTAATACTCAGATGACAATGGCACTAAGGTCCAAGTGTTATAAGGGGAGTGGCTGCCAGCCAGGAAGCTTTATAGTAAAATCATGTCAAGTCATCAAAGAAAAAGAAACCAACAGATCTGGCTATATTTAAATTTATGGATTCCAATTACCAATATAGTTACCTGAATTCATTCAGCCTTGCTGGTATAATTAAGACCTACACATAAGCCTGTGTTGGAATTTGAAATAACAGTGGGGCATTGTGTCGCTGTCCGGGCAGAATGTCTTTTATACGGTAGCACACACTGCATGGCATAAACCCATCTTCAATAGCCCAGTCAGTGTAGAAAAGTAGGACGTTAAACCCCATTTGACGAATACGTGAATAAAATGAGGTTTAACGTCCCACCGGTATTATGAAGACAAGTTAGTGATGTATGTAATATAGTAAACATTGTGTAGTTTATGATGGTGTATTATAGATCGATTGATTGATTGATTTGTGTTTATACGTTTTATCTAGATTGTGTCAGCTTCAGTATACCCCCCCCCCCTCCAACAATTGTCAACCCACCCCAGCAATGTTTGTATCGTTCTTGTCTACCATATTCGTTATTAAATATTCATTCAACTTATTATATCAAATTGTTTCGTTTTTAATTTTAAATTCCTATATGTTTTGAGATCATAGCTTAGGATTTTTCTCGCCTAGTTTTCACGGAATGCGTCTGAGAGGGTCAGACTGGTTAGGTCTAAATATTAAGGCCATCTGTAGATTATCGTCAAGGTTACGTGATGTAAACAGGGTTAACTCTAACCCAACCCACTGTCTTCGCCAGCAACCACATGCCCTAAACCTGTTTACATCAGGTGACCTTGATGAAATCTGCAGGTGGCCTTAATATTTAGACATGAGAATCCAGGTCTACCCAATGTTGTACATGTAAAAATATATCCAAGCCAATGTCCCCAATGACCGTAGTATACGGACCAGCAACCGAACATGACGTCATGGCCGCCACCTTTAAATTGTGACGTCATATACAAAATCGATGCGCGATTGCCCATAGAACAAGCATGTCATGTTTAATAATGTTGATCCTACTTGGGCCTTTTTGGAAGAGGATCGCCCGAGGAACAAGACAAGTACCGTTTGGGATCCAGTTCCATGTGCCCAATTCGCCTGACTAGCACACCACACTAACCAACGATCACGCTCTGCCCTCAAGCACACAACACCACACACAATGGTCATGATGAAATGAACACCCTTTATTTTTTCTTTATTCAATTGAAATTTTATGTCGAAATGTTACCCAAGAGAGTTTGGTCTTAGTTCAAAGTTACAACCTGACAGTAATACCTGTCGTGGGTGGATGTGGGTGTTTAACGTTGTCACACACAAACTATGCCAATTTCTTGTATGTAGTGGGCTTTAGTTAGCAGTGGGGGGAATCCGAAAGGAACCCCATGGGGTGGGATTGAAACAACGCTACCTAACTTAGTGACATACCTTATAATCAATAGTTCATGCGTTAGCCCCCCCCCCCTCCAATTTGATTGTTTCTTTAAGCCATTTATTTAGCGTCATCTACAATATTTCTTAAAGCTTTTATATAAGAATGATAAATAGTAACGAAATACAAGAATATAATAAAATTTATATATTAACACAATAATTTTAAATAAAACAGTATCAAAAATAAATTATTATTTAGTAATGGCAACATATGTAAACATCAAATATGTGCGTATATAAAAAATAAAATATGTGCATATATAAATTAAATCAAAAATTTATTATCAGTTGTAAAAGGGAGTATAAAATTTGTGAATTTATTGGAACTGGCGGATCGCTTATGTTTTAGGCTTTGTCAATATATTATATAAAACGTTATAAAATCTCAAAAGGAACAACCAACATGTCTTTTATTATACGACAAAGTATATTTTTATATATTAAGATTCAATGAGCTAGAAAAATTTATTTGGCTCGATCCGCTTGAGGTTCTTTCTTTTCTCATATCTCTCTGTCGGGAATAATAGGGGTTTGCACTCCCCCTTTTCAAAATTCCTGTATCCACCCTTGTTGAGAGTTGACATTGTATAAAGGGACATAATGTAATTGAGGATTTGGGGCGTGTCATCACCACTGGGAAATATCAGTAGGCCTATTATAATCATCATCTTTATTTGTCTATAAATCACCATCAATCACCTTCACTATCACTAGATATATCAACATCATTAGGAAATATCCTGGTTTTTAGGAAATCTTGTCTTAGTTCATGATCCGTATTGAGAGTAAAATACTGGTAGTTATATTGACTATAATCATCATCTCTATATCATAACTATCATAATCATCATCAAAATCATTACAACCATCATCAATATTATCTATGTTGTAATCTTTAGGATGAAGAACATCTTTTAACAGAAGAAAATCCTTTAATTCACGAGGTAATTCAAGATCCCTTACCTTCTCCTTTATTCCCAATCCAAGATTCTGTCTGATGAATCTTCTACGTACAGGGACTTGAGAGATATATTACTACAGAAACTAATGAATTCTTCCCTGCCTTGTGAATGGGTAGTGTGATCTTCCTTATCAAAATTCAAAGTTGTCATAATTTCCCGCCCTTGGGCACCACTAAGATATAACAGTTTTCTCAGTTTATCTCTATCTGAACTACTCAGTTCAGTAAGATAAATTTGATTATAGCTACTTTCACCTGAAGAGATAATGAGAGTCTGAACACAGTTTTCAGCAACTAAATATCTAATAAAACGAACAACGCGGCATGGTTCCCAGAAGCGGGGAAAACATAAGGCTGTTTTGATAATCGTGTTGCCATCATTACAGGGTAAATAGAGAAGACCAGTATTACCATTAGATAGAAGTAATTTAAAACAAGTCAAATCAAACACATTCTGATAATATTAAGATATTGTAGAGCAGATCTTCCTGAATAGTCTAACATGGTAACTATGGCACCAGCTTGAAGTAGTTTCCTTGTAAGAACTCTGTCGTTTTTCATTGCTGCCATCATTAAACTAGTTCTACCTCCATTATCTGGAATATTTACATCTATTCCATCAACACCAAGTAAAATATCAATACAAGTCATGTATATTGGATATATCTGTCCACAATAATTCTTAACAACATCATTTACCTGTCTCTTGTTCAAACCATCTTTAAACATAGTAAATCCAATGATAGAAAGATGGAGAGCCGTATGACCCTGGTTATTGTGTGTATTGATCTCTAGTCTAGGATGACGTGTCAACAATTCTAAATATTTGCTGTTTAATAAAAAGGCAGCTATCATAGTAGGTGTGTTGGTTTGAGAACATGGATGTTTGATGTCTAGTTCGTTATTTAACAACCATTTAAACGTGTTTGCAGAATAATCATAGTTAACACCAGCTAAAAGATGAAGCATATTTTCTCCTTCAGCTGTAAAACCATTAACAATCAACTTACGCCCCATGTAATAACTGAACACCCCCAACCTCTTACATTTTAAAATATCATGGAATAACTTAACTCCATTGTTACCTGACATCACATCTGAATCTGAATCTACTAAAAGTTTAGCCACCGTGATCCCCGTGTTTTAACAAATTGGATGTTAAACCCCATTCCTATCACATTATTGTATAGACCTGTCTGTCCTATTTAAATAATCAAATGATTGTGTAGATATTAAACATTATTCCTATATTATAACGTTTTGTATTTCAGTTAATAGCTAATATATAGTTTCCTGTCGACTATACTTGTAGAACAGAAATTTACTGAGTGATAAACTGGAGAAGATCTGTGAAGATTGAAGGCCGTCAGGTAAGGGTGATAACTCTCAAGTTATATTTAGTACCAGGATAGGTTTTAAATATCACAAGTTTTTTTTAAAATGTTAAATTAAACTTCATAATTTTATGAACATATCCAGAATATGGTGTGCAGAAAAATAGGACATTAAATGATTAAAGCTTATTTTATTTCTAGAATATATCTCTCCAGATTTCTTTGTTTATATTTGTTGTTGTTTACCAGTAATCACATGCAAGTTGATACTGTCTATCTTGACATAGATTAGTCATTTACAATTTTATTTAGAATTTGTTTTTAGCGATGTGATTAAGGCAGACAAGTTTTAAATTGTGGTATAAGGGGAGATAATTCAAAATAGAGTTATCCTTTCTGGATGATAAAAGTAGGAATGGTGAAATAAGATTTAATTAAAGTTTGTGTATCATTACAATAAAACAACTTAGTTCAGTCTCAGTCAGACTTGACAGTCCAGTTGACAAATTGGAGAACTTACCTGTTAGTCAATTTACTGTGAAAAAATAGTATTTCTAATAATTTAACCTTAAAATACAATAAATACAGTTACATTGATAGTTGTTATGTGTAAAAAAACTACAAAATATATCTAAAAAATTGGAATAATGTTATAAATTGTATAAACAATACCTAGATAAGTTTTTAGCGTCTTGTAAATGTTCTCTCCATTATCTATAAAAGAAAACCTATGTTTTGTTTATGTTTTTCAGAGCTGCTGTATTCGAACATAAACCGTCATTAAAAGTTGGTTGTGATTATTTGATACGTGATTGTGTCAAGAGATATCCACTAGAAAACTGTCCACTGTGTAGCTGAAGATCCTGAGGTAATGTTTTTTATATTTTGTCTAATAACCAAAGCGTATTAATTCCCTAACTTAACTAACTTGACAAAACTGTATAATATTAATAATGGTTTAATCTAGGATGCAGCCCTTTATAAACTAGTTATAGATATAATGCTGCAAACTTGTACACCAAAAAGTATAATTTGTTTCCATGGAAACACAAAAACTATTAAATCCATGAAATTTTTAATTATCAAGAGGCAGAACTACTACAATAGGTTGATGTGTGTACAAAGTATCATAAAGATATCTTGATCGGTTTAAGAGATATTCTCCAGAAACAAACCCAAGCGAAACAGATGAATGGACAGAGTCTGAAATATTTCGATTGACCTCTTTTAATCAGATTGAATTGAAGCCAGGAGATTATATCACTGTTGATATTCTGATTTTATTTTCTTAAATAAATTAAATGTTAAATAATCAATTTGAATACCGGTAGATTTTATCATGAATTAAGCTGTAGACAATATGGTCATGTATGAAAAACGATGCATCAAGACTTTAAGGTATAAAAATTAGATAATGTGTGAAAAATATTTTATTTCAGAATCAACTGAAAGGTTGTAAAAATCAAATAGACAAAGAGTTTATTGTGGTCATCTGTTTCATAATGGTTGTTTAGATACGTTCATGAAAACACCTCCATTTATAGGTAAATATCTATAATACTGCTGGGAGTCATGGCGACCTCAATGGGTGAAGAAAACTAAACTTTACACCTGCTTAAATGATATCAGTCATTCCACGGTGACTCGCGTGACATTTCTACGCAACACAAATTTTTAAATATGAATATCATGAAACCTAATAATCGGTTTCTATAAAAACTACTCCCAAGTAAAGTTTTTGTGTTCTGTTACATGAGAAACACTTTAAATATTACTTTCTTGGGCAAAATTTTGTGCAATGTTGTGACTCGTGTGACATGCATTTGCAGCGCATTCATGGGCAATGATACTGACCCCCCCCCCCCCATTTAGTAGAAAAGTAAATAGAATATAGGAATATGACTTATATGTATATGAAGCTAAATTGTTGAGCCGTAGCATCATTTTGTTACAATGTAGTGTTTTATTGTTGAGTTTTGTGATGAACTTGCGTGACATAAAAATGTGACTCGCGTGACGGGTAGAAAAAAACACTAATGTTTTGTTACAAAATGACATGTTATGCCCCCTGCCATCTTGACATGTGAAAGTAATTTGAATATCAAATCCACCTGCCGACCCCTGTAGATCTTGGTAGCATTATGTAACTTATGTAACTTTAACTTGTTGATGGCATGTCTTATCTTACTTCTTTGTCTGATAAACTATACTGAACGTTAACTGATATGAAACATGATACATTATAGCAGATGCCTAATGAGATTCCTTTGTGTGTGGAAAGGTTTATAAACCCAGATTAAGAAACAAATAGACAGAGAGGTCCAGGCAGGACAGGAGAGCAGGCGGAGGCTAGGCGACGTCTGGTAGTTAACTCCAGGCCACGCAGGTCATGGAGTTAAGACCGGACAACGGCCAACTAATGTAATTTAGTCCTGGGTGTCTTTAACATTACGATGTTTGTACATAATATGTTAGAAGCAGAATAAAAGTATTAATAGAAGCTGAAACTAGTCTTGTCATCCGAACCTGATTAAAGAACCAATACTGTCACATATTAATGATTCGAATTTTGATGAGATTAGTAATTTAGCCAAGCTGCTTTAAACTATTTATTATTTTTGTCTTATTTATTACATCATCCATAATCGGGCTATTTTTAAGAATATGGAGATTATTATTAATTATAGATTTACCATCTTCTTGTGGTGGGTTTTTGGACCCCTTAATTTGCTCTGATCTAAACTTAAAGCTTTTCGAATGACATCATCTACTAGTTTTGCCGGGTAGTGTTGCTTTTTTTAGAAAACCTTTAAGCTCATTAAGGCGCATCTATTTGATATCCGATTGTGAAACTATGGCGCACACACGTCTGGCTAAATTATACGGAATATTACGTTTGATATGAGAAAGATGGCATGAATTAAAATTGAGATACTGATGTGTGTCTGTCGGTTTATAATACATATCATTTTCAATTTGACCATTCGGTAAAAGATTCACCGTGACATCGAGAAAGTTTAGTTTTACTTTACTAGATTCAACAGTGAATTTAATGTCGACATCTATAGGCTATTCAAGAGTTCGTTAAATCATCTCTGGTAGACAGATTCTAATAACACTCTAACTAAACGGTATAAATAATTCATGTATATTTAGACAATTACATATTTTAAATATAAGAATTGTTTTATAATATAGATGTATTGATTAATTCTTGATTAATAAGACAGAATACGGCGAATTTTTACATTGTTATTGTATTTATATCATCTTTAAAACTAAAACAACATCTTTAATATATTTTAGGTTGCGGTTTAAACTACGTCAAGCTGAAAAGGATGGAAAGATACAGGAAGTCGTAGAAATATTATCATTACAAGATAAGATGCAAGCTTTACCTATAGCTGCTGAATACGGGTTTTATAAAGTTATGGTTTGTCTGTTAGAAGACGGAGTTGTTGATATACATTATGTTGGGTGACCTATTTACGGCAAATATAAAAATTTAAAAGACCGTAGAATTGTGAAATGAATAGAACTACACAACTTCTAAATATAAATAAACAAAATACCAATACTTCTTTCTTTAAACTAATTTGGGATGAACGGGTCTACTATGGCACACAAAAATAAATTATGCCGTGACAGACATGGTTTGCGTACGTCGGCTTTTACCATGGCTTTGCCGTTTAATTGCCGTGGTAAATTTAGAGCGCAAGTTTGTGTACAGAGAAGGGCGAAGGGGTTTAAATACGACTGGGCGGCTTTCTTCGATTTTTTCTTTGTGCTGGGCGACAAAAAATACTGACGGACGCAAGCGCCAGGCGCCACCCAGCGTGGCTACACCCCTGGATGCTGGTGTAGATGTCAACCAGGTGAATGATGATAAAGATACACCTATATTGATAGCTGCTGAACGAGGGTTGTATGAAGTTGTGATATATCTGTTAAAACATGGAGTAGATGTACATGGTGTTGATAGCTATAAGGACAACCTGATATATAAACTTTTAGATTACTATGATAATGATGACAAACCAGGTAGACGTGATTTGTTATTACAATGTGTAGTTACATTAGTTGATGCTGGTGTAGATGTCAACAAGGTGAATGATGATCAACAGACACCTATATTTATAGCTGCTATTATTAGTATTAAAGGGTTGTATGAAGTTGTAATGTATCTGTTAAACACGGAGTAGATGTAGGGGAGACCGGGGTTCATTGAACATATGGGTACATTGAACCACCATGGATATTTCCTTTATAAATAATACTAGGCAACCCAAGACTACACAGAAGTGAGATAACTTCTTAGGCCTATTTCCCCGTCAATAGGCAGTAGCAACATGATGTCAATTATTTTTTAGGCAATAATTTTTTTTAAAAAGAGCTCTTAAAATTGAAAATGCACTACTTCCACTTATCATTTTCCATACATGTTAATTGTTTAGCCTAGGCAATTCCTGTACTTAAAATCAGTTCATTATATATATGTCTAATCTACAATCCAGATAAACAGGGGGTTGATCCATAGAGGGCATATTGAATTTTTTTTAAATTTTGATCATGAAACTGTGATGTGGCAGATTGCATTGAACCACTGTCAATGGAGTACTTTGAACCATGATTCAATGTACCCCAGTGCATTATAGTTTATATATCATTTGATAATTTGTAATATCTTTGAAAATAAAAACAATAGTAGGATATCAATTGATCCAACTCTGTAGGCCTGTCATATAAAAGGAATTAAAACTTCATGGGAGCATCGTTCGAAACTTGGCTGTGGCATACAGGGGTGCAATGGGTCTTCCTGACTAAGAGTCGCTTGTCAGCAAATCAGGCTGTCCAAATTTAGACAGAATATTGGACAAATGTTGGTTTGATTCACTGCAAAAGTTGACTGGGATCCCACTATCCCACCAAACTGCCATTTACGGCGATTTGTAGGAGCCTAGGGAATCCGGACACCTGCTTGTTTCGATCGTTGCACGGATGTCAAATCTGGATATTTGTTCTTAAATAAACACTGATTGTTTGCAGATTCATTAGATCACTACGAAACAAGTTACTAGGTTTGTTATCCAAATTCAGATCTATGTTTAACATGGAATTTTTATTATCACTGTTCAATGTGCCCCACTATGTGGTTAAACCTCCCCCACTATTTTGTACAGCGGGGTACATTGAACAATTACAGTCAAGTGGATTAAAATGTGATATACAATAGCAACTATGATATGTCTTCAAACAATACAATAAAGTAAAGAGATATTCTAATAAAAACATTTGATATGGAAGGACAACCATGTATGTGAAAAAACTGGTTCAATGTGCCCCGCTCTCCCCTACATTTGATAAAGATCATAAATATATTACACTGTAAGCCTATGATGGTAGGGAGCCACGGTGGCCAAGTGGGTAAGGCGCTGGCTCGCTACCCTGGAGGAAGCGGCTGTCCAGTCGTTCGGATGGGACGAAAAACCGAGGTCCCGTGACTGGCATATACGTAAAAGATCCCTTGGGCCTTGATGTCAACTAGTTCCATTTCCATCATTATGCACTGAACTACTGTGTACGATCATTCAAAATAAAAATAGGGTTTCAACAAATCATTAGGCCTAAGCTGTCTTAAATTGCCTAACAATCAATACCTTTCTAACAGATTAAGAATTTCATTCTGGGACAATATTCTGAGGGCCTTACGGCGAGTTTTCTGCTCTAGAAATACAGTCATGCTGGTGTCTCTTTTTTGTCAAAAGACCACATGACACCAGACCCAGGAATTATATTGGTGAAAGTGGACATAGAACTTTGTGAGGGGGAATGGATTGAAATTTAAACAAAAGCCTATGTGTTTTTGGCAATTTAAACTAGAGGGCACCTCTGAATTAAATCTTGCTCACAGTACATAGCACCTGTTGATTCAAAGATAGTTTTTATGCAAATATCTCATTTTTAGTGAAAAGTGGACATATAACCAGTTAATGTCATCATTAATCGGCAGAGCATGCAGCCATTATCACCGGGTTAACCAATGTGCGACGTCAAGGACGTTAAGGGTTTGTGAACGTTATCTCCCATCACGCCGGACACCCATATTTAATATATTATAGAATGATTCACTAACTGTATTTTATTGTTATTCATGTCATGACATAACCTTGAAATAAAGGAACGGGCATATTGAACGTATTATTAGTCCAGCTATTTGGCGATCCTCCCCTCCCATCCCCACATTTATTTTATAGTAGACATCGATACGGACAGGGTGTCGATAACCTTACAATATAAGATTTAGATAAAGAGCTGACGGTTCTCGCTATATCAGTTCTTGTTGCCTCTGGTGGGCCTATAGGGAACGTGATTCAAGCTCCTGTCTATATGTTTTCAAAACATTTTTATAATTCTTACACTCAACGCACAAATAATAAATATTATTTATCAGTAAATAAAAAAATGTCATATTGTCTTTAAATCATTTACATATAATGAATAAACCGACATCCATATGTATACATATTGGTGTGCACGTAAAGAAAACAGCGGAAATCGAGGAAGGGGGTTCGTGGAAAGGCCACTGTCTGGGTAAAATTCTCCTACCTCACATTGTCCATAAAACCATAGAAATAAACATTACAATATGTTTTTTTGTTAAATGAATGTCAGCAGTCTTTTTACATCTTGCCACTGTGTTCACGACTAGACCTCTGTTTTTCATACCATCCAAACTACTTGTCAGCCGGACAGGTGAAGGTCGGGCTTGGTATTTTAATTGGTTTACCTAACGCTGTTGCGAAGTGCTTCGCTTGAATTTATCCGGGCGATTCAAGGGCCCTTTCCTTCGACCACAAGGTGTCCATATCAATTTTCTCCCCGAATTCAGTGTATTCTTTCAGTTTTATATTTGGAGATTTTCAATTTTATTTTTTCAGGTCTGAGGCTAGCGCCTCTGCTATAATCTATTACTATACTGAAGTCCAAAAGAAAGTATACACTGTTCATTTCGTCCTGTTTCAAACAAAGTCGTTTTTCCATTGTATGCGGTATTTTGGTACAATGTTCATTTGTTTTGCCTTTTATTTGCTTAGAAATATTGAGTTTGGAAGCACCAGACATGTTCAGTGTAGTTTTATCACATTTTTTTGATTTAAACAAAACTTAGTCATATTTTTAGTGTGTTTACTTTCTTTTGGACTTCAGTATATATAAAATAACCCTTGACAGTTGGAATTTGAAATAAGAGTAGGCTGCAGATAAGTAGGACATTAAACCCCATTTCTTTCAACAGCTGCCATGTTAGCAAGATTTATGACAAAGGCGGAATAACTCTAAAAGGTAAGGTCGGACAATGCTGAATATGGATAGGTTTCGTTCTCTGATGACCCCAGGATGGTTGGATGGTCAAACGCGCAAAGGGGCAGGGTTTTGATTCCCCACCTGTTCAATGTCGTGGGTTTTCTCCGGGTCTCCCACTTCCTCCCACTGATAAAGATCTATTATCAGCACAAATGAGTTATTGATATAAATTGAACCACATGTTCGTCCCGAAATGGTTTGTGTCGAGTGGATGTTAAACCCACACCGAATTTCAAAAAGATCTATTAAAAGCTATAGTCTATGTTGTTTTCACAAGGTTGTCGGAAAAGGAGCATAACTTTTGAAGGAAAATCCTATTGAACTTTCTTGGCCAACGCAGGGATTGAACACGGGACGTCCAGATTAATGAGCCAATGTCTTACTCACTGAGTCACCGTCGTTACCAAAAGATGGCGGCAAGCAATGACGGACTCATTTGTATTCTGAAATTGGGTTTTATAAACATTGTTGATGAAAATAACCCATGTGTTATATGTCGTTGTTGGTCAATGGACTCATTGTGATCAAACGGATGATCCAATATGGCAGTCAAAATCCAAAATGGCGGCTGGTTTGGGTAATTTTTGATGCAGCGTGGGCGTACCCTGTGTTTATTGAACCCATGAACCTCGCCTCGAATCCGAGTGAAATTTGCAACATGTTTTAAATCGATAATCAACATAGTAGTTAATGAAATTTGACATTTTCATAACTTTTGCTTCTGTGGATTTAGTGAAATAAAGATCTTCGAGTCATTAAAGCTAGCTAGCTTAGAAGTTTTTGTGTGCGCATTGAGCCTACCCTAACTCGATTTTGAAAATGCAACATAGGAGGCTTCTGAAATTTAGCAGTCTAGTAGTTTATTCATCCCTTGATTTCTCGGTGAGGCCGGCCTTGGCCCGTGGACTAAACATTTAGCTGTTAGGAATTCAGGTCAGCCACCTAAGTTAGGCTATATTGGACCACATTGAAGTTGCTGTATTCACGTGCTGGAGTAGCAGGAAAACGAAAAACGCGTTTTGGGCAGTCCAATTTTCCAATCTTTCTTAGGGGCTGGGGGGGGGGGGGGGCTACACGGAAAGATCCAAGATCCAAGATCCGCCACTGTAAACTGGAAAAAATACAATAGAAAAAATACAATAAAAACATATTTATATAACCATTGCTTTAATATGGTATTTTTCATTGATTCACCAATCAACACAAATGTCAAATTATAGACATTTTAAAATTGATGGAAATGAAATGAAATAGGATTTTTAAACTCCCGTTCTGCTCAAAATGGACTAATGAAGACGGGTATACGCCATACAATGTGATATCTCCTCATAATTCAGTGCAAACCTCGCATCAAGTTTCCTAAACAATACGAGTATTTTAAAAATAATGTGGTTTATTTAAAATGTCTCGGAGACTAATAAAAGAAATTTGAACTATAAATAGAAATAGGATCTGTGTTCTACAGGGCCGGCGGAAGCAATTTTTATATTGGGGTGGCTACCATTCTAGGACTTGAGGCGAGGGCCCAGGGACCGCCCAGGCGTATATAGTCGTCACCCTGTCTGTCGGTCAGCGTTGCGTGACTTTCCTCGTCCCCTTTTCCGACAACGTTGTGAATAGAAGCTATAGTTTTAACCCTTTCTTGCATAGAGCAATTTGTTCTTTTACCAGAAATGTCAAATTCCAACCAGACATGTATTTTCACATTATTAGACATATCCAATACCCGTTTTTCAATTATGGTTCCTAAATTGGGAGTTTAGGTGGGGGGGGGGGTCACCATGCAGCTCTGGGTGGTGATAGGGACACACATCTGATGCCACCATGCAGCCCTGGGTGGCGGTAGGGACACACATCTGATGCAACTATGCACAAAATGGAAGGAATTGAAGACAAACGTGGAAAATACTTGTCGTGCTCAGATGTAACATTGACATGCTGTGAATTTTATCAACAATTTTATCAACTTTTAGCAGTGTGCGGATGTTTGGCCAATCCAAACAGAAGACATATTGCACTAACATTACTAATGTCTGATTGTCTGAACTTGAGGAGAAACTACAACAAAGGGATTTTCTCTGTCCCACAAGCAAGGCATATACCAGGCCAGCAATAGCCTCCACCTATCTTATCTCTATGCTTATGACAGTCATAGTAGAGCAGCTGGATGTCCCATCGCAACAGAGGAAGACATGAAATGAAATGGGGTTTAACGTCCTACTGCTCTGCTCCTAACTGGGCTAATGAAGACGCGCATACGCCATACAGTGTGCTATGAGGGAAATTTTGCCCGGACGGCAGCACTACGGCCTACACTTATATCGAATTCCAACTGCCAACTGATCTTTTACGTGCACGCCAATATGTACACGAGACCTCGGTTATTCGTCCCATCCGAACGACTGGACAGCTTTCCTTGTCAGGCCCTCCATCCTGCATCACTGACAAGAGGGAACCAGGCCGGAAAATCTGGATGAACTTTCTATGCCAATGCAGGGATTGAACACACGGCCTCCAGGCTAGCGAGTCAGCGTCTTGCCAACCAAGCCACCGTGACCCCCAGGGGAAGACCTTGCTTTTCACACACGTTGTTCTACTACACCTGGAAGAATATGTTTCGAGCTTGCATCTTGGTGCATACCGGCAACAAATATATGGCATGTATAGGGTCACTACTGTATGCATTGTGGCCACGTTTATTTCTTATTCTCTGAAAAATACTGACTACTATTTCTACATGTTCTGGAACAAACATTTTACTAAACTGATATAGCACTTTGCCAGTCGGAAAGTCAAACTCGCCTACTTCCACTGGGGGGCTGACATGTTGATTCTGTACCAGGCTATCCCAGGGCCATCTATCAGCGATAAAATAAACTAAAGATGGCACCGTTTGTGGCCAGCATGCAGTTAGAGGTGTAATTATTTGGTGTCAAATTAGTGTGTTATTAGAGTTCGGGCACTTTTGTTTGCCACCTAATAATAATTTCTGTGTTTACTTTACTTGTCTGCCCGAAAAGTCATTTTGCCCCACCCACCCCCTGGCCGTACCCCTATGCACGAGGAAGAAAGATAAACAGGGTTTAAACCATGACATTTCGGGACTAACATGTGGTCCAATTTCATATCAATAATTTGTTTGCCAGTATGGGTCTTTATCAGTGAGAGGTAACCTTACTTACGTGCATGTGGGGTATCGAAACCATGCAACTGGAAGTGTTTGACCATCCAACCGCCCTGGGGTCATCAGAGGACGAATCCTATCCATATTCAGCGTTGCATGACCTTACCGTTTAGAGTTACCCCCCCCCCCCCATTTGTCATAAATCTTGTGACTCGATTGCTGCTTAAAGAAATGGGGTTTAATATCTGGAATAATGAAGACCAGTTTACACCTTACAGTGTGGTATAAGAGGCTACAGTCTACTCTTATTTCGAATTTCAACTGTCAAGGGTTCTTTTACGTGTCTGCCTATTTGTACACGGAATCTCGATTTTTTGTCCCATCCAAACAGCTAGATAACCAGGCCCTGCGTCCTACACCACTAGACCCTGTCCTTGCCAGGTCCTGCGGCCTACACCACTAGACACTGTCCTTGCCAGGCCCTGCGTCCTACAACACTAGACCCTGTCCTTGCCAGGCCCTGCGTCCTACAACACTAGGCTCTGTCCTTGCCAGGCCCTGCGTCCTACAACGATGTTCTAACAGATTCTCTTTCGAATTTACTATGAAGTATTGAAGTCATTGGAGGACAAAATCGATACTCGGCATTCCATAACCTTCCGTCCCACAGTTAGAGGCTGTGGTTTTGAATGATTTTGTTCCACATCTGGTATAAAAGGATGACGAATCCTATAAATATTCAGTTTTGGGACATTCTGTTCCCGAGTCAACCTTCTTTTCCGAACAGGATAGAGGTTGAAGGCAACCATGTCAAATTTGTTTAACATTATTAATGTTTTGCTTTCGGATCAGAAGCTGTCAAGACATGGCTGTTATGTGGACGTATTTCCTATAATAATCCAGATAATTAAAATAAAATCCAAGCCCTGGCCCAATTCAAGTGAAATCAGGTTTACCGGTTCACTGTTCTGTCCGGACAGCAGCGTTTTTTGTCCCACCCGAATGACTAGACACTGTTCCCTTCCATAAAAATCAAACCCGTGGCCTACTGATAAGTAAACCAAGGCAAAATATTTCGTACCAGCGTTATCTAAACTAGAAAACCAGTTATATAATGAAAATACCAAGCCTGATCTTCACCTTTTTGGCTGACAAGTAGATTGGATTGTATGAAAAACCCACGTCTAGTCGTGAACACAGTGGCAAGCGTGTAAAAAGACTGCTGACAGCAAAAAAACATATTGTAATGTTTATTTCTATGGTTTTATGGACAATGTGAGGTAGGAGAATTTTACCCAGACAGTGGCCTTTCTATGAACCTCTTTCTCGATTTTTAACTGTCAATGGGTTTTCTACGTGCACACCAATATGTATACATATGGATGTTGATTTTTCATTATATATAAATGATTTAAAAACAATATTACATTGTTTATTAACTAATATAAAATATTTATAATTTATGAGATGAGTATAAGAATTATAAAAAATATTTTTAAAACAGACAGGAGCTTGAATCACGCCTCCTATAGGCCCACCATAAGCAACAAGAACTATTATAGCAAGAACTGCCAGCTCTTTATCTAAATCTTATATTGTAAGGTTATCGACACCCTGTCTGTATCGATGTCTACTATAAAATAAATGTGGGGATGGGAGAGTGGGATAGCCAAATAGCTGGACTTATATTCTGTTGTTTTCCTCCTTCAATGTCTAACGACTAAGACTAATAATACGTTCAATATGCCCGTTCCTTTATTTCAAGGTTATGTCATGACATGAATAACAATAAAATACAGTTAGTAAATCATTCTATAATATATTAAATATGGGAGATAACGTTCACAAACCCTTAACGTCCTTGACGTCGCACATTGGTTAACCCGGTGATAATGGCGGCATATTCTGCCGATTAATGATGACATTTGTAACATTAACATGTATGACCAAGTTCCATCACGGCCACGATTCTCACCTTTCTAATTAGTTAAAAGGTTGTGAATATACCTTAGTTGTTAAAAAGTTTCGGTTTTATCTCTTGGTTACATATTAATACAACGAACAGTTATCTGCCCTTAGGACATTGTTGTTTATTGCACGATATTATGGACAGGTTGATTTAATTAAGTTATTTACATGTGAATGAGTAATATATAGAAAATAGGTAAAAACACTAAATAATAAAAAGTTCTTGTATATCTAAAAGTCACTTTAAAACACAGTTTTAACATCGCTGTCGTGAGAAGAGAAGAGAGGGCTGGTCATCTTCTCACTTTGTCATAATTAAAACAAGTTAAAATAGGAGATCCAGCTGTTTGATGCCATCGCAGCGGATTGAAAAAAAACCCTGTGGGAAAAAGCATCCACTGTTTAATGTGGAAAAGCGAAGTTCTCGCAGTAAAAACCACATAGCTGGACTCTGGTTATAAAACATGATTATTATAACAACCAAGATGAAATACTAGTGTTAACAATGATCAAATAGAAATATATGTAACAATCTGAGAAGTCGGTGCTAAGATGGACGTGACACAAGATGGAGGCTAACAAGTAAGTAGAACTTGTAAGTTTTATATCAAATATTACAATAGGCCTATATAAAAGACCGGATTCTATATATTACAATATATTGCATATTTAAGAAAGAAAAATTAACGTTAGAAAATCTCCCAAGTCGGATAAAACAGAAGATTACAGGTGGCCTTGACTTTTGATCATACCCCATTTATATCATCTGTAGAAGATTCCGAATATTGACACGTTTTTAATTTATCATATCTTTGTAAAATACTCAACAGAATATTTTTATACTGACACGCCTTCCAGAGATTCAATTTTTACAATATTGTAGTTTGTAAAGGATTCCTCAATATCTCAAATGTCAGACATTGAATACAATGTAAATAAATATTTTTGTAAATTTGAAGCCAAGATTGTGGAATATACATATTTGGTATGTTTATCTACAAAAGTAGAGGTATATTTTAAATTATTTCAATTTTTTAAAGAAATCTACAACTTCTTCTAGTTCTCTTTGTTTAGCTTGTTTATGTGCACATCTATTCTCCATTACTTCAGCTGACACTTTCCATTTTTCATTCGTTTATCACAGGAAGGACATTTTTTACCTCCTGAAAAAAACCCCAAACATAATCTTATATTATGTGTTACTATTTATTTTAAATGTAGATTAAGTGATATAACATGAAATGGGGTTTAACGTCCTACTTTTCTGCTTCTACAGGACTAATGAAGATCGACATACGTCATACAGTGTACTATGAGGGAAAGTTTACTCAGACAGCGACATTCCCATCTAGTCTTCCACGACATTCCAACTGTCTGTCAAGGGTTCTATTACGTGCACGACAATTATACAATATGGAGCCTTGCGTTTCTGACTCAGTCAAATAACAGAATACACTTTTAATTTTCAGTCAACTATCTAAAGTGAGATCCGTGGTTTGAATATCGAGCAAATTTAAAAATTAAACAAAACGAATAGAAGACACAAGTAACACTTAATAAACATATCATTTAAGCAGGTGTAAAGTTTTAGTTTTCTTCACCAACTGAGGTAATGAAGACGGTCGCCATGACTTCCAGCAGTATTATAAATATTTACCTATAAATGAAGGTGTTTTCATGTACGTATCTAAACAACCATTATGAAACAGATGACCACAATAAACTCTCTCTATCTGATTTTTACGACCTTTCAAATTGATTCTGAAATAAAATATTTTTCACACATTATCTAATTGTTCTGACTTAAAGTTTTAGATTTAATAGTTGTTTTTTTCAACTAGTTTATAATAAACGGCTGCATCCTAGATTAAACCATTATTAATAGTATACAGTCTTTGTCAAGTTTGTTGTTAGGGAATTAATATTCTTTGGTTATTAGACAAAATATAAAAACCATTACCTCAGGATCTTCAGCTAAAACATGTTTTTTACACAGTGGACAGTTTTCTAGTGGATATCTCTTGACACAATCAAGTATCAAATAATCACAAACAACTTTTAATGACGGTTTATGTTCGAATACAGCAGCTCTGAAAAACATAAACAAAACATACGTTTTCTTTTATAGATAATGGAGACAATATTTACAAGACGCTAAAAACTTATCTAGGTATTGTTTATACAATTTATAACATTATTCCAATTTTTTAGATATATTTTGTAGTGTTTTTACACATAACAACTATCAATGTAACTGTATTTATTGTATTTTAAGGTTAAATTATTAGAAATTCTCCAGTTGGTCAAATGGATTAAATCCTATTTCTATATCATCCACAAAGGATAACTCTATTTTGATTTATCTCCCCTTAAATTTGTCTGCCTTATCCATCACTCAATAAAAACAATTTACAAATATTTCTAAGTAATATAGTAAATCTCCCCTTAAACCAGAATTTAAAACTTGTCTGCCGTATCACTTCATTCAAAAAAAAATATTTCTAAATAAAATCGTAAATAACGAGTCTATGTCAAGATAGACAGAATCAAGTTCCATGTGATTACTGGTAAACAACAACAAATATAAACAAAGAAATCTGGAGAGATATATTCTAGAAATCAAATAGGCTTTAATCATTTAACCCCGAGTCTGACATGAGAAAAGTGGATGTCAATTTATAAAATGAAAAATAAATCAATTTTTCTTACCTTCTATAGTAAATATATTCTTTCAACATCATTTCAAATATTATTCTATTCCTCTCCAATCATATCTCTTGGTTAATAAAATTCATTGTGTTGTTATTTAAAACAATATTGGGTTAAAGTTGACTTTGATGACCACCAAAACATCACATCAGTTGATTTTCTATTCCTGTTATTCAACCTGGTAATACTACTTTCAATTTGTTTATAAATAGATTTAACGTGACCTATTGACTTGTGACGTAATAACCAATGACGTTGTAAAAACTTGTAATGACGTGTTACTAGTTTTAATGGCTGTGTACAGAATGTTGTTGATTGACAGAAAATGGTTTATAACAAATCTTTAAATTTACATCAAAATAAAACATCTTCATCATTTAGTTCTAACAGAATTATTAACAAGTAAAATAAAGATGTTGTATGATTATTTATATTCTATTTATCAAGGCCTATTTAACATAAATATGATACACATTTTGATTTACGCCACCGACGAGTCCAGTCTAATAAACTACCATAATCACGACACTTGACATTTATATTCTATTTATCAAGGCCCAATTCACGTAAATATGATTCACATTCTTTTTTACCCCACAGACGAGCATATTCTAATAAACTACCTTCATCACTCTTAACATCTAACATGGCACCAGCAGCGAAGAGTAATTGTATCTTATCTAACGGCTGTTTGTTAGACCATACACAATGAAATACTGGTGTCATATTAAAATCATTCCTATCATTTTTATCAAGTCCTTGTTCCAATAAATATTTTACACAGTCTATTGTACCCCAACAACACGCCCAGTGTAATAAACTACGACCATAACGATCCTTAACATGTAACATGGCACCAGCAGAGAAGAGTAATTGTATCTTATCTACCGGCTGTTTGTCAGACAATACACAATAAAATACTGGTGTCTGATTATAATCATTGACAGGAATATTTAAATCGATATTTTGATGTATTAAAGTGTTGACATCATCAAGTGTACCATATCGACAAGTTTCACATATTGATCTCCAGTCCATTTTATTGTTGTCGGTTGTTTTATTATAGTTAGTTGTTATTACATCTTGTGTAACAAATCTTTGGTTTAATAATGGAGTTGTTGATGTGATGGTGGTGGCCATATTGTTTTGTATAGATGTCTGACTATATTTAACATCATCTGAAATTATATAATATTCATACTAGTTGATTACCTGTTCATATATATCGTTCTGATGGTGGTTAAAAACCCTGGCCATCTTTAAACTAGGTTATCTTTGTTGTCTGAACGTACAGGTGGGGTAATTTCGAGTAGGATATACACCTGAGTTATTTTAATTATATTTATAACCCTTGATCATGGTTTGTCACAACATGTGAAAGATATACAACCCTGGCTTAAAAACACTTCAACTAGAAAATTACTTGCCATTTCTTCAATTATTAATTAAAATGGCTAAAACGTAATGACATACCTGGAATTGTCATCCCTTTGCTTTCTTCATCAGTATCTGTAATAGAAACATATATATTAGTAAGTACAGAACAAAGATAGGTTGCCAGACAATGAAACAAACTCACACCAAGGGCGGATCCAGGGACCATGGACAGGAGGGGGAAAATTTCTAAATCTAAAAGCCCCCTCCTAAGAAAGATATATTAGTAAGTACAGAAGAACCGTACCATGTAAACAAAGATGGGTTGCCAGACAACGAAACATACGCACACCAAGGGCGGATCCAGCGACCATTGCGGAAAATTTCGAAAACTAGAAACCCGGAATACCATTTTTCCAGTGACCTGAGTGAGACAAGAATCTGTTTTAAAGTGCGTCCACTGGATCGACATAGTGGCGGGGGGGGGGGGGCGCAGCGTTTGCCCCACCCCTAAATTCACACTTACTTGCCATTTCTTTAATTATTAATTAAAATGGCTAAAACGTAATGACATACCTGGAATTGTCATCCCTTTGCTTTCTTCATCTATTAGTAAGTGATCATATGTATCATCCGTATCTGTAATAGAAACATATATATTAGTAAGTGCTGAACCGTACTATTTAAACAAAGATAGGCTGCCAGACAACGAAACAAAAGAGCGGATCCAGAGACCACAGGCAGGAGGGGGCGCACGGGAGGCGAATTCGCACGTTGGGGTGACGACAATATATATACGACCAGATTTGATAAAAGCCCAGAAGACAACCCCACTCTGACAAGACACAGAACAGATTGTAATCAAACCAAGTGATTATAAATATAGGCTACCGTACCTATGTAACATGTATTAAACATACTTTAGTCGTTACAGCTTTCACAAGGTTCAACCATATCATATAGATATAGCCATAGGCCTAATGTGTAACACCGACCATAACTCTAGTCTAAGTCTTGAAGTAATTAAATAGACTTCATCGTTTCACTAAATTGTGGACGACGGACGGATTGATAGCCGAACGGTAATATGACCACATTTCCATGTACAAGATTATGTACAAGAAAGAAAAAAATTCTGCAACTGAGTCAACCTGTCTTCACAACATTCTTCTGCTAAATGAAATCTCTTGTTGACTGTCGTCTGCTGAATGACGTCACTTGACGACGGTCGTTTGCCAAATGACGTAATTGAATTAGAACGTTAAAAACATTGACGCCATGTGCTATTTTTCAATAATTGACAAGTTATCGCTGATCAGATCAGCCATTTTTAAAAATGTATATTTTCAGTCTAGAAAATCACTGCTTTCTTGATTTGTTATCATTCTGGGGTCATATACTTAATTGTATCTAAATAGAGAGCACTGACTGTCGGATCCCCCTTGGAGTTTCGAGACAGGACCAGTGCAATGTCCAAAAATAACCCAAAACCTTTGCTAGGTAAATTTCTTCGTTTAAATATGTGTTGGACCTAATAATGTGTTGGAAAAAACAACATAAATACCCAGTACTAATTATTTCATACACACACCATACGTGATTGTTTAAGATTATTTGAAGGCCAGATCGACGTATTTCCCTGACAATTATTAAAATAAAATACAATTTAGCTTGATTTGTTTGATTGGTCATTTGTAAATATTCATCTTTCGAATCAGATTATACTATTTTTGAATATTGCTGTCATCATTATGCATAATGACTCCTACCGGTATAAAAAAAAATTATTTGAGCAATGTTAGTAGGCTAGAACCAGAACCGTATGATGTTGCTTAGCAACACAGTCGTATTGAATTTTTGGGAAATCAAGGCACAACACTGTTGAGAGATATTGAAAATTGTAGAAATTTATATAATAGATGAATAGCCTAGGTTTTGAGTTCAGGAAAAGTCACCGGTTAAATATGCTCATCCATTTAGACCATTCCTTTTTAGAATTAAGGTATAAAAGCTTCGTAGACAAATTGTAAAATATCAAGTTGTTGGAAAATTTTGTGATTTGATCTCTGACCCCTGCAGGACCATTTTGCTATAGAATAACAGACAAAAAGTTGAGAAATATTGATTCAAGAGAGATAACTACATATTGTAGGCCTATTGACGATAAATAATCCATGAAACTCTTTTGATTTGTGATAGGCTACTTAAAAATGTTTCTATTGTTTTATTTTACAGCGAATCTCATTCACTCAGTCTTTCTGCCAGAAGAAATTTATATTTATCAGATGTTGAAAGATGTTATAGATGATTTATTGTTGAAATGTTGAAAAATAATAAAACTTGAATATTTTGTGAGATTTCGAAATTTTGTTGACTTATGAGAAGAAAACATTGAAATTAATATGTTCCTATCGGAATAAACATGATTGCACGTAACCGTATTAACAAAATATCAAGATCAGTTGTCACCCTCAATCACAATCATAGGAGCAGGGGTCAATTAATTTCCAATGATTAAATAGACCCTTAACTTCTGTTGGTTTCAGAGCATAATGTGTTCTTCATGTAGGCTATCAAGATCGTGACCTAACCTCTGATTTAAAACTTTCGGGAAATTCACATACTGATAAAAAAAAATGGTTGCCAGAATTAAATAATGGTCACCAAAATAGCTGAAAAATGCAATGTTTTTTTCAATGATTCTTATGATTCTACAGGTCAATGTTTTTCGTCCTGAAGAAGAATAAATTATCCAAAACAAAGTTATTACATGCGTAATTAAAGCAACGAAAACTACATTTTTAAAAAAAAAAAAAAAAAGAAGAAATCAACTGATCTCTATACCCACTCTCCACGACAGGGCTGAGGTCACTAGAAGAAAACTTGGACCCATACATAAAATTAGGTAGATAGACCCTTACACTTTTACACCAAAAATACTTTGAGTCCTAATGTTATATATACTGTAATACTATTTGATAATTTATGCGAAATTGTATTAGACGAATATAAGTGCACCAGAGAATATGAGTTATAATTTGATAATTACATGTTTTATTTCTATTCTCCATTGTCAGTATATTAGTTATGGTATGAGTTTATTTAAAACGCAAATTAAATTGGTTATGAAATATTGTGAGGAAAACATAAGGGAAATCTGTGCTGATATGATACATGAATTGAACTATAGGTTAATAAACACATTTATCATACGTCATCTTAATGGCATGTGACATGTTGACCAAATTTGGTAATGAGACCCTATTGGTATGCAAGGCATGAGGCATGACCAACCACATGATTAAAATTACGTAATATTTGGCCAATTGAATAATTAGTAGCGGAAATCTCGGCATAAACAAGTAACTGGATTTGGACGCTATGGCAGACAGCCATGTAGTTCTTGAAGGGAGAGGATGTAGCGTTTCTCTATCAGCAGACTCGCCGAGTTTGGCTGGATGGAGTTTGAGAGAATGACTTTATTATAATGCTTGTAACTATGTAACCTATATGTAGCAGTTTTTAATATAAATGTAGAACCGAAATATGGCATTTGTTGTTTCTGTTATTGATATCATTCAATGTCATACGAGTATTAAATATATTTATATATGGTACTTGTCATATCGAAAAATGGTAACGTTTGGATGAATATTATTGGAGATATTTTAAAATAATAACCGCTTACACTGTAAATTATACAGCCATCTTACGAGGGAGATTTTGTTCGGCCAGCGGCGTTTTCTTTTACTCTTTTTCGACGTCCAGCCTCCAAGGGTTCTTTTACGTGCACAACAAAATGTACACAGGCCCAGTTTTTCATCATCTCCGAACGACTAAACACTGTCGCCTGCAAAGCAATTTCGTTAAAATCCACCATTACTGTCTTTTTATGGTGTTCAGCCAATTTCTGACCCATCGGCCACGAAAGGGTTAATGATCTAACGAAGCCGTCACAATGCGAATTGTAACAGGGTTGTGTTTTGAGACTCTGTCAATTGTAAGTTGTTAATGAATGGCCTGGCCGTTACTTTATTAGTTGGTGTTTTAAATAAGTAAGTTTATAGTTTTTGTTTTTAAGCCAATATAAATTTTTATAAATGTTTTGGTGGTGGATTATATATTGTATGCATCTAGAATTGTATTGTTAGGATTATGGTGGAAATGTGTTAGTCTTTATATGGGCTTAGTTCTCAATATTACTCGTATATTAATTGAAGGTTTAACCTCGCTTTCCCCACATTTGAATGTTTTGATAAAGGATTAGGAGGTTAGTAGACCATGGGTGTAGGACAATAGTCTGTTTTAATTAATTAGTATGACTGGTGTAATCTTCTCACTCTAATTATTGTTACTGGTGAACACTTCCCACTATCAGTAGATTGGGCAAATTAGTGAAATCAGTTTACTAATAAATTTACTTGTCCGTTTGGGTGTTTTCTTCTAGTTGCGGATACACGGTGACTTTAAATGGATTTAACAGTAAGTGGTTTATTGAGTAAGACATCGTCGGAAGAATACGTTAACGAAGTGATGGCATCTAAAAACAGCACAGTGGCTACACCAGCCCAGATACATTGTGATTCAATCGAAAAGCAGAAATCGGAGCCATTTAGGGTCAGAACTCATAGCTTTAAACGTGGAATAAACGGAGATGTAGATGAAGATATAGACGTGGATGAACAGCAGGTAAAAAAGGCCAAAACGACAAAAAATGACGATCCGAGGTTCGATCAGATAATTAAAATGATAGGTAATTTAACGGGACATATGAGTGATACGCACAGTGAAATGACTAAGATTAATAATAATATAACAAAAATGGAACAGTGATAGATAGGAAATTAAAAACTGAATTTGCTAATATGGAATTGAAAATCAGTGATAACCTCTCACTAAAGCTCAAGGGTGAAATAAAAGAAGAAATGACTAAGATCAAGTTAGATATCGAAAGCAGAATACAAAGTATAGACTGTGGTGATCGCGAATGTGGTGCGTTAAAAGAAGCTAAGACTATCAGAGAGGGAATTACTAGGGACATAAAACATTTAGAAAAGGATTTGGAAGATTTAAAAGTGACTAGAAATTCGGGTGATAATGACGTAATAAATGAACGTAAACTGAATGTGGTGATTAAGAATCTGTTGCCCTGTCAAGGTGAAGAGAGCGATGAAGACTTAGTAGTGAACACTGTTGATCGCCTGTTTGTTGAAGCCCTGGAATTAACTGACATTAAAGTAACCAAAGCATCACGAATACCAACCCAGATGAACAGCAACCGAATCAGCCCTATAATAGCTACAATAGAGACAACAGATCATAAGGTGAGAATTATGAAGGCAAAATCGGGACTGAAAGATACTAAGAATTTCTATAGGGTGTATATTGAACATGACTTACCAAGTGCTGTGAGAACAAATAACTCTAATTTAATGAACATTTTGAAGATAGTCGGTGGTGATCGGGATTATAAAATTGTGAGAGGCAGAATAACAAGAAATGTGAAAGGTGTTAACGTAAGAAGATAGGACAACGTCAGGCTCGGTACATGGAATGTGAATGGGTGGTCACGTGACGATCGTTCTGACAACTACAGTATTCGCACTTCAATCCTCAACTTTTTAAACTTTGATATTTTA